TTTGTAATTACAAGAGAGTTACATGTATTTTTCCTGTTTAACATTTGTATGTGTTTATAGAAGCTACTGCTCTAGATAGTGCATTGGCTACTATATCAATAGGAAAGAAGTGTTAGGAAGTTCATAAAATAAGTTACAATATGTCATTTAAGGTAGCCGAGCGTAGTGGCGCATGCCTGTAATCCCAGCACTCAGGAGGCTGAGCAGGAGGATTGTTGTGAGTTCAAGGCTAGCCTGGGCTACAATGTGAGCTTAAGGTCAGCCTGAACTGCATAGCGAGACCATGTCTCAAAAAGACAAAACAATAAGTCTTTTAAGAAAGGTTGTATTTGTTAATAAGAATGTACTATGCTTTCACAGAAAGTTCCTCTTGGATTGGATTTAGAAATTGACTTCTAGTTAGTCCTGCCACCAGCTAGGGTATTTGGTCATGAGCAGGTCATTTAACTTTTCTAGTTGTCAGTTCCTAAAAGGTAATTGTGTTAGATTCATTGGTCCTTTATGTGTTGTAGTAAGCTACAAGTTTGTTTGTACTGTTCTCTCACAGAGCACAAAATCCATCCATAGCCATTTTCTATAATGGACAAAACATGTAAAATTTTCAGTTAAAAGGGTCAAGGTAGAAAAATAACCATTTTTTCCATCTGTAAACCTTTGGACTAGGTGATCTCTAGACTGTTTTGGAACAAAATAAAAAATTCTAATCTTTGACTAGTGCTGCTATTTTTTTTTTTTTTCTTTTTTTTTTTTAAGAGTAGGAAAATCTGTTGGGGAAAAGAAATGGGGACTAGGACTAGCTCCTGATGCAGATGCCCGGGAAGTGGGCAGTTGGCGCCCGGGAAGTCGCGTGCCGGCATATGCTAGCGCGCACTGGTCCCCGAGCCAGCCAGCACTGTGTGGTCGAGAACCATCATGGCACAGTGAAGCAGTGACACAATTGGCCCGCCACACGCTGACTGCAGAGGCCCGCCCCACGCTGACTGCAGAGGCCCGCCCAAGGACGTGCCTGAATCATCCCGACATGGAGAAACCCCTGGAAATACATGCTGCACAACGGGTTGCTCTTGCCCTTGTCATTGAGAACCAGAAAGGTCCCAAGTCAACAGAGGAGCAGCTGCTGAAGAAGGACTCAGAGAAAATGAGAGTACAGGCTACGCCCGAAGATTCAGAGGTCTAGTTGACCAGGGTCATGAGAGCCATTCGGAAGCTGGAAACCAGGAGGACCTTGCGCAATACCTGGGGAGACCCCTGGAAGCCATTCTTCCCCTGATAGTACAGGCTGTGGTGGAGGAGCACGTGGAGCTCTGGAGAGGTCTGCACCGAGATTCCTGCTGCCTGTGCTGACAGTTAGGGAGAGGACACTAAGTGGTTACGGGGGCCCAGTGTGCTGGGAGGCTGGAGAGAAAAAGCTACAAAAATGGCTTTCGCCCGAGATGGCTCACTCAAGATGTTAGTAAGAATTGCCTCCTCAGTATTCTATAGCCATGATGAGGAGGAGGCCAAGGAGAGAAAACAAAGAGACTGAGAAAAAGCAGCTGCTTTTGCTGCAGCACCAAGAGAAACAGACCCTAAGTCTGATTCTCGGGGCCCCAAGAAGAACTCGACAACTGCATTCATCTACTACCACTGTTAAAAGCCAGGCCACCTCAAGAGGAACTGCCCTAAAAGGCCCCATGGTCCATGCCCTGAATGCAAAGGTGACCTTTGCAGAGGCCCCAGAGCTCAGACCCATCCTACCAGTTAGTCTAACAGGAATGCGGGGGCCTAGGGCATACACCGCCTTCTCCCTCTGGCCAGACTGTCATCTCCATGGAGGAGCCCTGGGTAATCATGACTATACAGGAAAAAGAAAACAGCCTGTTGCTAGACACAGGTGCAAGTCTCTCGGTCCTTCTTTTCAATCCTGGCCTTCCTTCCAGCCGTCACACCTCAGTGAAAGGAGTCACTGGTGAGGAGGTAGTACTCTATTTTGGACAACCCTTAGGCTGTAACTACTTGTTAGATCCTTCTTGCGTATCTCTGTCTTCCTGAGAAACCACTTTGAAGGTACCACCATGTATTACAGCAGACAATGATATTTTCCTACTAATCTATCCATAACTCTGTAATGTTTGTATTGTTCCTAGGCTGTTTTGTAAGTAGATACATGTTTATTACTATGTATTTCCTACAACAACCATTGAGAATGGTCAATGATTATTCAATTGGTCACTCATGTGTAGCTCTATTTATTTTGTTTAGAAACGACTTTAAAGATACCAAAGTATAGTACAACAACCATTGATAATAACCTACCACTTTTGTCTGTAACTTACTATTATTTGTCTGTTTTCCTGAGAAACTATCTTGTAGGTAACAATATGTAAAACAACAACCCTTGATAATTTCCTACCACTTTGTCTAATTCAATAAGCCCCCCTATTACTATGTTATCCTTCTTTTACTCTTTAAAATAATAGTAATTAAAAAAAAAAAAAAAAAGGAATAGCTCCTGAGAGTCAGGAAGGTCAACCTGAGTGGGTTACTGCAAAGTTTTTATAAGAAAAAGAAAAATACACTTTAAAAGTCCACACTCAAAGAAATAGAGTGTGGGCCCTTCAAGAGAGAGGCTTGGTCCTTACTTTTATACAGAAAAATAGGGTGACTTGATCTCAGTGAATAAGAAAAGATACTTCTTCTTTTCTTTTTCTGGGGGGTCCTGGGGATTGAACCCAGGACCTTATGCATGCATGTAAATCACATGTTATACCACTGAGCTACATCCATGGATCTGAAATTTGTTTACTTTTTTTTCTTCTTATTTTTTGAGACAGAGTCTCGCTATGCAGTTCAGGCTGGCCTTGAACTCACTGTGTAGCCCAGGCTGGCCTCAAACTCCTGGTGATTCTCCTGTCTTTGCTTCCTGAGTGCTGGGATTAAGAGCTTGTGCTACCATGCAGGGCTCTTTACTCTTTGGTTTTTTTTTTTTGGTTTTTCTCCGGTACCGGGAACCGAACTCACGACCTTGTGCTTGCCAGGCAGGCGCTTTTGCCGCTGAGCTAAATCCCCAGCCCCAGGGCTCTTTACTCTTGAATACACTGTTGAGAAAGGCAAATATCGTTTAAAACTACTACTCCACTGGGAACAGTGATTGCACACCTGTAATACCAGCATGGTGGGAGGCTGAGGCAGGAGAAGAGGATTGCAAGGGCAGCCCCACTCTGGACTACTTAGAGACTTAGCAAGATCCTGTCTCAAACAAAACAAACAAAAAAACGGGTTGGGGATGTAACTCAGTTTTGAAGCCCCTAAGTTGAAGTCCTGGTACTCTCTGAAAGCAAACAACAAACCAAGCCCAAATAGCACTGTCAACATGAATGACTATATTTTGAAAATGTGCTGTAATTGTTTCTTTTTTTTTTTTTTTTTTTGTCTTTTTGAGACAGGGTTTCACTATGCAGTTCAGACTGACCTTGAGCTCACTTTGTAGCCTGGTTTGGTCTCGAATTTCCAATGGTCCTCCTGCTTCAGCTTCCTGGGTGCTGGGATTACAGGCATGTGCCACCATGCCCAGCTTTAGTAAATTCTTTCAGTGGATACCAAATATATTCTGCTTTTTTTTTTAGTATTAGGAATTGAACTCAGTACTTTGTGCTTGCCAAGCAGGAGCTTATGCCGCTGATCTATATACCTGGCCCTATGCTGTAATATTTATGCGTACTTTTTATTTGTATGCTTGTGCTTCTCAGCTCTATTTTGACTTCTAACTAAAGTTCCAACCCATGGCTAACTAAAATTAAAGATTCTAAATCAGGTTAAATCTTGAGAGCTAACAGTCATTTACATGGTAGCTGTCTTAGTTACTTTTCTTTTTACTGAGACAGAATACCTGACACCCAGAATTAAAGGGAGAAAGGTTTATTTAGTTCACAGTCCATATATATAGAGTTTTCAGTCCATCATCTGCTAGGTCCAAGGCAGGGTGGCTTGGCACACAGGTGTTGGAGAGGAGAAACAGTTCATGACGGACAGAAGGTAGCAAAGCAACAAGGGCAGCTACAGCTCTTTATATCCCTTATAGTTTATCCAGACTATTTAGGGCAGGTAGCACTCACTGCGTTAATCTTAGTGCCCTTAATCGTAGCATTGCACCATGAATCACTTCTAGTGTCACACTCTAGATCCAGCCACCTCTGAAAAAGCCCCACCCCTGACCGCATGAAGCTTTGGGGGAACATCTAAACACCAGCTGTAATAGTAACATTGTTTGATAAAGTCTGTTCAGCTATAAGAAATAATTATGTTTAAAACCAGTTAGCTCATACATGATTGCTGAATAGAGGGATGATATCAGTGTAATGTGGAAATTGTGTTGGATTACAAGTGGTATAATAAAAAAGTAGGGCAAATATTTTTTTAAAAACCATTTTTAAACATTGAGTTTTTCAATTCATAAGTGCAGTATATTCCTCCATTTTGGGGGGTTTTTCTTACTAATTTCTGAGAACTGACAGTGCTTGGAAGGCTTAATATTAAACCTCAGATATTTATAATACCTATACTCATTAAGACGATATAGTAGTATTGGGCCTGGTAGCACGTGCCTGTAATCCCAGCACTCGAGATCCTGAGGCAGAAGGATTGCCATGAGTTGGAGGCCAGCCCAGGCTATATAATGAGTTCAAGGACAGCCTGAACTGCATAGCAGGACCCTGACTTTAAACAAAAAATACTATAGTATTGACACAAGTGTTATATACATACCCCTGTGGAAAACACTAATCTTAAGCCAGAAGAATCAATTTATATTTCATTTGACAAGTACTGTAGAGTATAAATTAGCCAGGTGTGGTGGTGCACATTTGTATTCCCAGCATGGTGAAGGCCAAGGCAGGGGGATTGCAGTGAGTTCAAGGCCAGCGTGAATTACGTAGTGAGCCCTTGTTTCAAAAAACAAACAACAAAATGAGTACAAGTTGGTGCATAGTCTTTGGTATAATTTCGCCCTTCCTTTTTCACAGGTGTGGACCATGTTTGAGGATTGCTCCAGCATTCAGTTCTATGAGTAATAAATATCCACAGGCTGTTTTCTTGGAGGTAGATGTACATCAGTGTCAGGTAAGGAGGAAGAGTCCTTTTTTAAATTTTTTAGTCGGCTTGAAATCCAACACTAATACCATCCATTAATTATTTCTTAATGCATTTATTCCTTAGAATATAGGAAAATGCCAGACAGATTTGAAGACACTTGTCTATAATTCTTGCACTCAAGCTGAGGCAGGAGGATTGCTACAAGTTTGAGGCTAGCGTGGGCTGCATAGTGAGTTCAAATCTAGTCTAAACTATATAATGAGACCCTGTCTCATAAACACTCCCCCCCAAAAAAACCCACAGGTCATTTTGACCACATTAGTTAAGAAAGGTAGCACATTATTACTAATTTCAGATTTGTATAAATGTTTTTTCATGTAAAATTAATATTTTATACTCTGCAAATCTATAATAATTTCTTATACTGCTAAAGTATTGGCTGATTATAAAGTCATGACAGGGAATTCTTGGTTATAGCTTGATTTGAATTGGTCATTTTGTTAATCTTACCTGCAAAGCTGTGTGTTCAGCAGAAACTTTAAAATATTAATTACTGTTGATGGTGTCTCAATGTTGTAGGTAAGTTACCCTGATGAATTATTTGCAATGGCTATGTAACATTTCTGCATTTGTGTGTGTCTTGGTTACTTTTCTGTCATTGCTGAGACAAAATAACTGATGCCCAAAATTCAGGAAGGAAAGGTTTATGTAGCTCACGGTTTGTGGAGGTTTCAGTCCATACTTTTCTGGCTCCAAGGCAGAGTGGCACATGGCAGAGGGCAACGTGTTGTTCATGGCAGTGGAAGATAGCAAAAGCAACAAAAGCAAAATGGAGGAGAGCAGGCGGGCAGCCTCTTTCTCTGTGGTACATATGCAAACTCTGTGCCCCAGGGCGGGTATAACACTCATACCCATAATCCCAGCATTGGATCATGGATTAATCATAAACTCTAAAAGCCGCCCCCCCCCCCCATGACTGCATGAGGCTTTAGGGGGTACATCCAGACACAAACCATAACAGTGTGTATGTAAAAATACAGAGAATTGGTAAGGAATAAAGAACTTTGAAAGACCCTCTCATATACTAGTCTTATTCTAAGGAACCTCTTTGTAGTACTACAGCTGTTTTTTTTTTTTAAATGAGGCTTTGTCTTTACTACATTTCTGAGTGTGGAAACATTTTAGAGTGTTAAGTAGTTAGTAGTTGGGGTAGTTAGTAGTTTGGAGATTTAACATAAATTTACATTACACTTTTATATTTTAGTACTTATATGTCACTGGACTGAATCACTGGTTCTTTAAAGGAAAATATTCAGTATTGCTAATCTGAAACTGCTTTCTTCTAGAACTGTGCTGTCTGCCCTAGTGGCTACTAGCCACATGTATTTTTGTGTTTTTTGAGTGCTTGAAATGTGGCAAATCCAAGTTGAGATGTTCTCAAGGTGTAAAATACGCATTGGATTTTGAAGACTTGAAAAGAAACTATAAAATACCATCTTTCAATGTTGACAGTGTTGAAAATGCATATGTTTTGCTCATTAAAATAGTAAGACTGGTTTTACCTATTTCTTACTGCTTTCTTAATGATACTAGGAAAGTTTACAATATAGCTCATTTCATTTCTTTTCAACACCGTTCTGATAGATCAGTCGTAGTTATTGCATAAATGAGGTTTAAAGAAGATATACTTAGGTCACCTTTGTGCTTTTTATTTCCTTTAAATGATAAAGAGGCCAAATGTAGTATGGCCCTGTAATTCCAGCTCTTAGAAGAGTGAAGCAGGAGGATTGCTGAGTTAAAAGCCAGCCTGAATTACAGAGCGACACCTTGTCTAAAAAAAAAAAAGATATAATGGTATCTTTTCATAGTGTTTGAATGCGAAAGGTGACACATTTGTTTTACTATCCTTTTTAAAATATTTTTCATAAAGAGTTGTTTCCATCCAGTCTAAAATTGTGGAAATAGGACAGAATTTATTTATTTAGTTTTTTGTTTTTTTGAGACAGGGTCTCACTATGTCAGGCTGGCCTTCAACTCAACAGATTCCTCCTGCCTCAGCCTGCTGAGTCCTGAGATTATAGGTATGCACTACCACCACACCTGGCTAGGACAAAATTAATTTGTTTTTTGGTGCCAGAAAGTGAACTCAGGGCCTCACACTTGCCAGGCAGGTGCTGTGCTGCTGAGCTACATCCCTAGCCCTCGGACAGAATTTAAAAAGATATGTTAGAACATAAACAATAAAGAACATAAACAATATGTTCAGTGTGGGAGTAGGTGCCATTTTACTGAAGTAGAAATCGAGTGGGGGTTGCAGTGCAAAAAGTGCTGCTTCCTTTTTATAGGTAAGTTGACTGTTTTTCAAGTGTGTATTTCTTCCTAGCAGCTTTGGTTTGTATTATCAATATCCTGCTTGGATCCTTTTGAGAAATCTGTACTATATAGTTGTGAAAGAGCTGTCTGATAAGAAGTACGATTCTGTATTAGAAGCTAAATGAATGAAGTATTTAATAGTAAAACTGATTTTTAAAAGACGGGGTGGGGACTGTTCCTTTTTGTGGGTATAATAGTCATATATCTGTGTCCCAGTGGGAACTCCCTTAAGGGAAATTGGTCTGCCTTTTTTCTTAAATAACAATATATTTTACATATCTTTAGTTTGTGCCAAGGATGTTTAACTTCCACAAAGTTATGGAATGAATGTTTAAAGTGGTTTTAAGTTTCATTTTAATCCATAACACTGTTTTAATTTGCCACTTCTAGGGAACAGCTGCCACCAACAATATATCAGCAACACCTACATTTTTATTTTTTCGAAATAAAGTGAGAATTGATCAGTATCAAGGAGCAGATGCTGTGGGACTAGAAGAAAAAATCAAGCAGCACTTAGAAAATGACCCTGGAAGTAATGAGGACACAGACATTCCAAAAGGCTATGTATGTAGATTGAAAAGTAAAATGTTCTACTCCTCAACGCTATGTAAAATGACATGAATTTTAATGTGTAACTGATATATAACGAGCTCCCTTTGTTGCCACTTCCTTTCTGTAGTATTCGTTCTTTTTAAGTGTATCTTTCCTGGAAGTCTATGTTTTAAAAAAAAATTCTAGCTTTAAATTTTTAGAATCAGATGTGACTTTAGTATTACATATTTTCTTAAGAGTAAGTTACTTTTTAGAGTAACTTACAAACTGAAGAACTTAATGATATTTGAAAAATACACAAGTGTAGATAGTTGTACTGTAAAGTGTTAGAGTTTGAGAGCTGTTGAGGAAGGAAGCAAAAATTCAAACATAGTATTCAGTAGTAGCAGATTTGTTTATGCATACTGGTAAATTCTGTAAAAATTATGTAATTTCTTAGTTTCTGGTTAATAAACTACTGTATTGGCAAAGCAAAGAATTTCTGTAAGTCTTTTAAATTCATGGTGTATAAGGAGAAATCCCACATCTTGTCAGGTAAACAGGAGAAATTCTTTGTGTGTGGTTGGGAGGAAAGTGGGTATCAGAAGTATAACGTGATATTAGTGTATTTTGAGTTGGGAAAGTACAATTAGTATTTCTTTAAAATAGAACTCTAATTTTAAGTTACAGCATCAGTTAGAAAGTATGAATATGTTTAAGTCAGGGTTGATAATTACTAAACCAGGCCCTTTTTGCCTGTCACACAGCATGCCAGTCACTGAAAAGAATTTTGCAAAATAAAAAGTTTATACACAAAGCAGTAGTCAGAATTTGGAGACAAAGAGCATGTCACAAGTCTGCCACTCCAAGATAGGTTTTATTGGTTATTTGTGGGATAAAGAAGCAGGGTCATCTGTGGTATAGGGAAAAGTGATTGGAGGTGCAGGCCCAAGTGAAAGATCAGTAGTTTCAGCTAGTATAAGATAGACAAAAACTGCCTCCCAAGTTCCTAAAAAATAGCTTAGGAAACTATTGACCTCATCACATCAGAGGTGCTACCTATAGCAAAACTAGTGGCAGTCTAATATTTGGAGTTTTGTGGTCAGCATCTCCTGCTTTTTATTTTAATCTGTAGCTTCCTGTTCTAAGATTCTGTTGTTGTGGGACTTTTAAGTTCCCTCCATTTAGGGATCATCCCTTGGTTAGATTTTAAGATGTCCCCCAGAACCTTGTGTTCTGTAAAATACCTGATAGAAGAATTAGAAATGATGAACTTACTAGGAAAATACTTAACAGTAATGAAAGCACACAACTCCATTCTGATTTGGATGTTACAAAGGAAGTATGGGGGCTCAGTAGAGTCAAAGAAATAAAAAGTATAAGGTGGCTAGTGTAAATGAGATGAGGGTAACAGTGCTGGTTATCTGGCAGTTACCATGGTTACTTCTCACAGAGTTCTGGAATCAGAGGTCTTCTTTTGATGATTACATTCTTGGTGTATCAGTTAATTTGTTGCTGGGACAAAAATAACACCCACAAGTTCAAGGAGAATAGGTTCATTTTAACTCACAGTTTTTAGAAGTTTCAGTCTAGTCAGCTGTCCCCAGGGCAGGGTGTTGGGGCAGATGGGCATGGTAGAGGAGAAACAGTTCATGGTATGGCAGACAGGAAGAAGCAAGCCTTCCCTGCTTCTTTTTTTTCTTTTCTGCTTCTTTCCATTGTATTCCATCCAGACTTCAAGTTTGTTGGTTAGTGCCACCCAAATCTAGGGTGGGTCTTTTCAATAAATTCATCACTTATACCCAGAACTATGCTAAACCACTCAGTGGGTAAATCTAGTAACATACCTACATCCATGACCCAGCCACCTCGCAAAAGCCCCACCTATGAGCTCATGAGGCTTTGAGGGACGTCTAGATACAAGCCATAGCATCTGGCAATGGTTTTCAGGTCCTTGGCAGGTGCTTCTCAGCCACAAGAGGCGATACTCAGACTTGTAAGGCCTAAGAGAAGATTGTGGCCTATTGAGCTCGGTTTCAGTGACACCATTTAGAAAATTTTGGAAATGACTTAACTTTAAACTGTTGTGTTTACATCTTTTTTTTTTTCTTTTTACTTATTCCTAAGGTTATTTGCATGAAAAAGCCTAATATGCGCAACAGTCCAATGTGAGCTACAGGGATACTTCTTTGCACATCAGCCAGATGTGATGCTGGTGTTTTGGCCTGAGGAAATAACAAGGGGAAGAAGTTTTAAGGAATAAAAATTAGTTTTTATGCAATTCTATGAATAAAATGTGTAAAATTAGTAAAAACATTTTTTTGTTCCATTAGGTCTCAATCAGCTATTTTTGGTCTTAAACAGTTAGTAAATATTTAGAACTAGAAATCTGTTTTTGGAAATATCACTGTCCTTACAACACAAATTGAAACTTAATAATAGTAAATCACCAAGTGAAAAATGCATTTAAGTAGATCTAAGTGTAAACAGTGCAAAAATGTATTGACTTTTTTGTAAAATTGTAAGTTCTTTTTTCGTTTTGTTTTAAAGAGGATCAAACCCAGAATCGTGTGCATGCTAGGCAAGCAGTCTACCACTGAGCTATTTCCCCAGTGTAAGGAAAGGTTTTTGTGAACATAATGACTTTTATTTTTTATTTGTATTTGTTTACTTTGTTTTTTGAGATAGGGTCTTTTGAGATAGTTTAAACTGGTCTCGAACTCACTGAGTAGTGCAGGCCAGCCTGAAACTTCTGACAGTCCTCCTGCCTCAGCCTCCCAAATGCTAGGATTACAGATGTGCACCGCCACACCCAGCTTTAACTTTTAGTTTTTATAAATGTTTTTTGAGGTTTAGAAAAATTTAAAACATTTTATTTTTTCTTTTCTACATTTGCTAAAAGTAGGCTGTAGGTAGTATGGCTTCAAATAGTCACCCTCCTGCTTTCTCAGTTAAGTCTTCCTCTCTCTGGAAATTTGAAAGGCAGGGACTCTTGGTTAGAACTTGGATTGGCTTATGTTCTGAAGTTTAGATGTGTTAGTGTATTTCAGTATTTTAAGGCCTTCGAACTCTAGCCTTTGGCCTATAGTTTTCTCACATCAAAATGAAATAAAACTTTATTTAATCCTAATTTATGAAGTAAGCACACAAACATTTCTAACACAAAAGTGTAGATAAGCTTTTTTTACTTCCCTATGTGTCTTCTGATGTATTTTTTCCTACTCTATCAAAACAATGGAGGAAATATTTTTAAAAAGTCTAGAGTAGTACAATAGGCCATGTATATCATTTACCTGTGTTGTCTAATTGTAATTGGTTTTGCTTTTCCTCACTAGCCACATTTCATTTTGGCAGAATCCTTTACGAGTAAGTTATAGACAACTTGATGATTCATCTCTAAATATTTTAACATGTAGCTAATGTCCTTAGATACCAAAACATTTTCATATTAATCATATCACTATCACGCCTAACGCACTTAGTATTGTTAAATACAGTGCCTCTAATTTCTTGCATTCTGATTTCCTTAATTGTCTCCCAAATGGCCCTCATAGTTGTTTTCCCTCTTAGGATCAATAGGTAGGTACTGTGCATATTTTCAGATCTAAATTTACATTTATGTCAAATATGCAGTGTAATGCTAGTTTTCCCAGACCTTGTTGTATAACAAAATACTTCAATATAATTATTTAAATGTGACTTTTTTGTTATGTTCCTCAAAATGTTATTTTGAACAAAGCACCTTTTAAGTTGTTTGTGGTGTTGTAGGCCTACATATAATCCCAGCAATCAGGAGGCTGAGGCAGGAGGACCTCATATCAAGAAACAAGAAAAAAAGAACTTAACCCCATTAGTTTATTTTCATCATTAAGGTATTGGATATATGACTGGGATATTGCCTTCACACATGAACTCTTAATACCTTATGTACTTTTGAAGTGGTTCATAAGTAGACATGGAAGACATAAACATTTAAAATATTTTGCCTGAACTTCCCTTTCATGACAAATGTTCACGAAGTTCAGAATAATTCTACTATAGTAGTGCTTTGCTTTGTAAAATGCCACCCCCCGCCCAATCTTTCGGAATTGGCTATGACATTACCCTGAGTAAAACATTTAATGTTAACATTTTGACTTCTAAAGCATTTATGCTATTTTATGAATAATTAGGGACCTATATTAATATATCATTTTGATATTTAATTTGACATGCAAAAAATGTTCAATCTTTCAGAACTATATATGTATATATTCGTGTCTTCTGGATAAAAAATATTCTTTGTCATAAAAATGAACAAATGATTAATAAACTGTATACAGTAATACTTTGTAACTATTTTTAATTTAAATTTGTAACTTTAAAATAGTCCTTCTTTAGTAGATTAAATGGATAATTTTATTAGAGATAGTTTACCAAAATAAAACTTCACTAAAAGCAGAATATGTACACAGACCATTCACCATTGAGACACCAAGGAAATAGTAAAAGAGCTCTTCCATAAAGTTCCGTGTGACTTCACAGGTGAGAGTGTTGCTGGATTTTTAAAAAATCAGGTGCTCTAGTGTTATTCTCGGTACTGAAGATCATAAATGAAGGAAAAAAATCTTCTGAATTTCTTTTTTTAAGTAACTATGAGATTACAGCATTTAGCAACATAAATGTACCAAAAAAGAAAGCCACTGGCCAATATCAGTTATAAATATTGTTTTAAAAAATCTTAAAATGTTAGTGAAGAAAACCTAACAGTCCAGTAGTAGAATTAAAAATACATCATGAACAAAATTGGATTTGTTTCAGTCATGCAACAAATGTTTATGTAATCTGTCATGTTAATAGAGCTAATGAGAAAAGTCACAGTTCTCTATATACAGAAAAGTTACTTAACAGAATTCAATAACTCTTTCATTCCTGAAGTATTGACTAAAATCTTAAGGGGGAAAAGTGAGAAGTATTTCCACTAGAGTCGGAAAGGAGACAAGCATGACTGCTGTCACCACAGCTCTGTGGAATTGTGTTGGAAGTGTGGACGTATCAGTGAACAGAGTATGTGAGAGACAGGAACATGCTGACCTGACATCACAGGGAAGTAACCAGCCAAACCCAGAGTAGTTGGAAATTTATAGCTGATTATAGATTAAAAGTACCATGTTTATACATTTTTATATCTGAATCTAATAATTAAATTGTAAAATATGAGAAGTTATGAGCATTTGAACACTGATATTTGATAAGGTGTGGTTTAGTTGTGATAATGCTATTAAGTATGTATGTGTGTTTTAAAAGTGTACTTACAGAAATACATGACATATTCATGAATATAATGAAAAGATGTCTAATACTTCAAAATAATTGAGAGGAGAGGTAAAGGATATAGGATGGGTAGAGGTGAAACAAGAGTGGCCATGAGTTAATGATTATGGCTGGAGGTAAGGCATATGTGGAGTTCACTAAATTACTCTTTTTTGTATATGTTTAATATTTTCTATAATAAAATAATGGCCAAGTGTGGTGGCACACAACTGTAATCCTAGTACTCTAGAAGGCTGAAACAGGATGGTCTCAAATTTGAGCCCAGCCTGGGCAGTTTAACAAGATCCTGCCTTAAATTAAATAAAAAGGGCTGGGCATATAGCTCATTGCAGAAGACCTAGGTTCAGTCCCTAGTGCAAAATCAATCAGTCATGTCCTTTCTTGCTGTTCATCTTAAACTTAACCTTTGCATAGGCCTGAAGAGTACATGTCCACTGGGATAGGGATACAAGCTTTCTTTGAGTCTTAACAGATACTATATTTTCATTTGCAAGGTTTTTACTATAAAACAGTTACTTACAATCTTGTGTGTTAAAGACTTAGTTTCTGCTAGTTTATTAAGTAAACGAACCCTAGATTTGGCTTTAATAGACGATCTTAGTCAGAAATTCAAATTGAAAGGACCGTTATAAAGATTTTTAGTAACTTTGTTTTTTGTCTTTTTGAGGCAGGGTTTCACTGTGCAATTCAGGCTAGCTTCGAGTTCACTTTGTAGCCCAGGCTGGCCTCGAACTTGGTGTGATCCTTCTGCCTCAGCTTCACAAGTGCTGGGATACAGGCATGTGCCACCACATGTGCTTGGTTAGTAACTTTTTAAGGAGATACTTTCTTTAAAAATTGCTTAATCTAGGGCTGAGGATGTAGCTTCTTGGCACAAGTGCCTGCCTAGCAAGCACAAGGTACTGAGTTCGATTCCCAATACCAAAAAACAAAACAAAACTAAAATTGCTTAATCTAGAGAGAGTCACAGGTTTACATTTTTAACATTTTTACACCAAACTGAAATGTTTCCCCTAATGTCTTGATTTCATGTTTTTCAGATGGACTTAATGCCTTTTATAAACAAGGCTGGTTGTGAATGTCTTAATGAAAGTGATGAGCATGGGTTTGACAACTGTTTAAGAAAAGATATGACCTTCTTGGAATCTGACTGTGATGAACAGGTGATTGAGTGCTTAAGGCTTGTGGGGCTTTTCATTATCACTTTTGTTTCTCATGTTCCCATCTCCTGGCTTTTGTCTCTTACTGCAGATGATCACTTGTTTCTTTGCTTTTAATGGTTTCAGTTTAACTCTTGCCCTGCAGACCTGCATTTTTTTCTGTTCTTCTGTGCCAGGTGAACAAGTAATTGGGAGGGTGGTGCACTAGGGAAAATTGCAGAACTCTTAAATTAGACCCACTGCTGAGTTTGGTCCTTTTGTTCATCCTTAATTTGTCAGTATGTTTGCCCCATGCAGGTAAGTTTGTATCTGAGGAACAGAGACTGATTACATGACCAGTTCCTCTGTAGGTAGCTCTTCACTCCCAGATAGAAACCTGTGCCATTTTTCCTATTCTTTTCTGCATTGCCCTTCCCACAGAGCAAGTAGGGTATAACCACCTTGATGAAGCTATCTTTTCTTTCATCTGGGTGTTACTGTCCTTACTGTAGTCTCTGTTCCATTGTCTCCAGTTTGTACCTATTCTAGTTCATTCTAGTTGTATATTAATACAAAAGTTATTTCTTTAGGTTATATGCGTGCATGTTTCTCTTTCCTAAAAGATTCTTCGCTGACTTCAAGAAGATGTTGTTGCTGATTTAATCTGTTTTTGGCTTTCCATTCTCATCTCTTGCACTTTACTTGCAGTTCAACTCTCTCTACATATTATGCTTACTATATTTTGACAGTTACGGCTCTAGTATAAAAAGTATTGATATAATTAACAGAAATAATCTAGTTGTTTTCTTAGACCACAGTGTAATTCTGAAATAATAAATCTAAACCAGAAAGTTTATTACAGTTTTGAGAGTATCATTCACATTGTATTTCTTGTGAACGGTATAATCTGATAATGTGTATCAGCAGGGCTGACTATAGCCTCCTTGAAATTTTTCCGCCAGGGAGAATCTTTCTTCCTGCCAGGGAAATGTCAAACACAATGTTAGCTGGAAAGTTGAATGAATGACTCACAGCTTCTAAAGGGTAGTCATCCTGGCAGTGTTTTCTATATCAGTTCCCTTATGTGGCTTTCCAGATACATTTAGTTAAATAAATTTAAGATGGAACTTTGGAGGATACTGTAGGGCTATAACAGTCCCTCCCTCTGTTCTTTCCTCCCTTTCTCCTTTACCCCTTTCTTTCTCTTCTTTCTTTGGCTGGGATTGAACTCAGGGCCTTGGGCATGCTAAACATGTGCTTTACCAACTGAGTTAAACCCTTAGACCCAGGATTGATGTTTTGAGTTTTGGATCAGTGATCATTTGAAGGGTAATCTCTGCATGAACCTGTGCATTGCCTTCAGATTGTTGAGGGATATGGTTAAATGCTGTACAAACCACCCTAGAAAATTAGAATGCCATAATACATAGTTTAAATTTTAATTTGTGGATTTTACTTGATTTTTTTGGAAAGCAGACTGCTTGCTAGTTTATAGGGCATGGGACCTTAGGTTCTTATGCATAATTTTATACGTTACCTCCATTAATTTCTTTTTGCCTTTCCCTCACTTAATTGGTATTTCTCAAATGTCAGTTTAATCAGATTACTTTCAACTTGCTGATTTTCTATATTGCATTGGTTTTGTTAGATGAATTAGGTTTTTCTGCCTCAATTACTTAATTCTACTTTGGTGTTACGTGTATTCACGGTACTCAAGAGCTCCTTTATAATGAAATTGTTTTCCCTCAGCTACTTATTACGGTGGCATTCAATCAACCTGTTAAGCTTTATTCCATGAAATTTCAAGGACCAGATAATGGTGAGTAAAGTACAGCTTTTATTTAAACTAACAGCTTTGTTAGACCTGTTAGCACATATTTGAACTTTTTATTAAATAAGGTAGGTATTACTTGTTTTAGGAAAGACTAAATTTGTTTTTGGAAGAATGTAAATGAATGGGCAAATATTGTGAAATTATTAGGGGTTGAAAGTAAGAAAAAAATGGAACTTTTAGTTTGTTTTCTAAACTTTAATTTTAAAGTGTTTCCCCTAATCTGCAAACTGCTGAACCTTTCCTTCCAAGTCTACATTTCTAGCAATCATTTTTTAAGAGTCCACAGTAGGAAAGATTCATTTCAAACTCCTATTCGGAACAATGAAAAACAGGCAACAGATTTTCCTATTTGTGCTCTGTTAATAGTGTTATATCCACGGATATTAAAATGGTTGTAAAGACTTGAAGTTTCTGTTTTATAAAGTAAAGCATTTTTCTTTACCCTTCCTCTTTTTTTTTTTTTCTTCTATTGCTAATTTTTTTTGAGGACTGGGAAAGGAGAGAGGGCCTAAGGTTTGTTGTTGTTTTCATTGACTGCGAAAAGCAGCCAAGGCTGCATTTATGAGATACCATTTCTATTGTGTTATTCCAAATTTTTACAGGTTAATTACTTTAACATTTTAAAATTAATGCTTTTATTCTAAAAATGCAATACAAGCAAATGCTGTAGGAGTAACTCTTAATATTCTTTAACTAGCCACAAAATGTGGGTCTTCAGTTGCACCCTGAAATTAAGGACATGCGGTCTTACACAGGTACATTCCTGATCTAAAGGTGAAATTTGACAGTATTTATAATCAGTTCTCTTTTGGCTTAATGTTGTCACTGATACTGCTTTACTTCTGAGTAATCCAGTTGTTGACCTGGCTCAAATGCTATTTCTTTTATGAAAATTTGTTCATCTGTGTACACCGTCAGAATCTATTACCAGCTTCTGTATACTTATTTACTAGTCATATGTTGTTGAGGGTAGTGACTCTGTGTATACATGTGTATGTGCATGTGTATGTATGTATTTTTTTTTGTTTTGGTGTTTTGAGACAGGGTCTTGGTATATAGTGCAGGCTGGCCTCAAACTCATGGCAGTCCTCCTGCCCCTGCCTCCCAAGTTCTGGGATTGCAGCCATGCACCACCACACCCTGCTATGTGTTTTATTTTTTTATTTCTTTTCTCTTCTCTTTTTTTTTTTTTTTTGAGACAGGGTCTCACTGTGCATTTCAGGCTGGTCTTGAGCTCACTTTGTAGCGCAGGCTAGTCTGGAACTCGCAGTGATCCTCCTGCCTCAGCCTCCCAAATGCTGAGATTATAGGTGTGTGCCACCATGCCTGGCTTATGTGTTTTAATCTCATAGTTTTAGGATTTACTGTAGCACTAGCTAGGACAAGAAAGTACCAGCAAATGTCTGTTGAGGAGGTGGACAGATTGCCTGTCTGAATACTCGGATTCTTTCAAACCCTAATCGTAGAGGTCTGTGGAGATACATACGTGTGTGTGTGTGTGTGTGTGTGTGTGTGTGTGTGTGTGTGTGTCTGAAAGTACTAATAATGATGAAGGAGGAAAATATGTTTGCAATATTTAGTATTTCATTGTTTTCTACCATTTTGTAGGTCAGGGTCCCAAATATGTAAAGATTTTTATCAACCTACCCCGATCTATGGATTTTGAAGAAGCAGAAAGAAGTGAGCCAACTCAAGCTCTAGAGCTGACAGAGGATGATATTAAAGAGGATGGCATTGTTCCTCTTCGTTATGTTAAGTTTCAGAATGTTAACAGTGTGACCGTAAGTAGTATTTCATTGGGATATATTTAACAGGTTTTGGGTGTCATTGGCACCTTCAGTATCCTAGGTCAGTGATGGTGAACCTTTTAGAGTTTTCAGTGGTGTGAACAGCCTGCTGCACTATGTGTGCCATAGGTTAGTCACCACTGTCCTAGGTGATTATATAAGACATTTTAAAAATTTCTTAATTTAATTTAATTTTTTTTTTGAGACAGTCTTGCTGTGTAGTTCAGGCTGGCCTTGAATTTACTGTGTAGCCCTGGCTGGTCTGGAACTTGTAGTAATCTTGCCTCAGCCTGTTGAGTGCTAGGATTTACAGGTGTGCATCAGCATGCCTGGCTATATGATTTTGGTTAAGTTTATTGGTACATTTTGGGTGTACATAATGATCACATTCATTATAGGAAATATGTACCTATATATGATATAACTTGATTCTTTTTTTATTATTTTTTCCCCATTCCCCTACCCTTTCTTTAACCCCTCTTCCCCTTATTTACAAAAGCTTTGTTCCCATTTTTTCCTTCTTTTCTGATTCTCTTCCCCTTACCCTAGTTTCTTTCCCATTTGAACATTTTCTTCCTATTTTATAATATCTACTATATATTCTGGTCCTTATTTACACTTTTGATTTCTCACACCAGAGAAACAATGCAGTATTTACATATATGTGTCTAATTCATTTCACTTAAGAGTATGGCTAAGGTAGTGTTTATCTAACAGTTTGAAGTGAGTAAAAGTGCATTATGGACTAATTACATTTTCTTCTTTGTAGTTTATCTGTTTTCCTAAAGAGGGAAGACAGGTTGATTTTTAAGTATTTGTGGATTTTTCAGTTTATCCATACATACATGCACTTTTATATACACATACATATATGACAACTTCTGTTAAAAATTTATTCTAGAACATTTATACTAAAGGTATTTGTATGTAATTTAGGCTGAAGGTATTTGTATGTAATGGTCACACCAGTGACAATATTGAAGGTATTTGTATGTAATGGTCACACCAGTAAAAATTGTTTTTTTTGGGTCTTTTTGAGGCAGGGTCTCGCCATTCAGTTCAGGCTGGCCTTGAGCTCACTTTGTAGCCCAGGCTGGGCTTGAACTCTCAACAATCCTCCTGCCTTAGCCTTCTGAGTGCTGGGATTACAGGAGTGTGCCACCACACCTGGCTTGCAAAATGATTTTTTAAAAAAATAATTTCATATTTTATAAAATAATGTAAAGCACCTCTGAACAAGGAATAGTGCTTATGATGATTTTAAGTGGTATAGTATAAATGTTAATATAAACATGCTATTTATAATGGTTAGCTGCTTTTCAGCAATTGTTAGTGGCTTTTGAGAATTTCAGTATCAGAACCCTCCACTCTTCTTCTGCTAGCCAGGTTCATGTGCCTTAGAAAAGAGGGTAAGAGAATTAGGAATGAATTCAGAAGAATACCTAGAAAAGAAAACAGAAACATAAAAGTCATTGAAAGAGAGCATGTCACAACAAATTGATAAAGATACCTTTTAGTGGAATAATTCTGTTTTTGTAAACTACAAGAGGGCTATAGTATTTTTTTTAAGTAAGTTTAAATGGAGTTTGTATCTTGGATAATAGTAATATGAAGACTTACAATCAGGTTTAGCTTTAAGTATTTGAAGTAATCTATCCAAGTGAAATTGAGGAAAATAGCTGTATCATTCTTAGAACACTTGTTATGAAATACTTTCCTGACATATATGCAACATATCCCCCGTTAGTAATACCTTTCCTTTATTTGTGATGAAGAGGAAGGAATGTGTTTATTAGAAAAAGCCCTTTGACACAGATCCTGAAGTAATCTAGTAGGCTCAAGACTATGTAATGTGTTCTATTTTATTAAAAATTTTAGTGAGTGATTTAAATGAAGACATAGAAGGTGTGCCAGTCACTTTTTGATCGTAGAATTGGAATCAAAATAATAGTTTCGATCAGAGTCTAATCAAACACAGTAGAAGAATCTTACGAGCAATAAATATAATCGGTTGTGTTTTGGATCAAGGAATAAATAATTTATAAATAAGTTGAGAGCTGGTTTAATATTCATTATATATTTTAAACTGATGATAAGCTCAGTTTGAGATTAACTATAGGTTACCTCTGAAAACAATAAAAAGTGACCAGTGAATACCATCACCATCTTGGAGTGAAAGAAGTGTGTCAAATCAAGAGAGGCAGTATTACTGTTTTTTTTTTTTTTTTTTGTTTTGAGGCAGAGTATAACCATGTGACCTTTAGTTTACTATGTAGCTCAGGCTGACCTGAAACTAATAGTGATCCTTCTATCTTAGCCTCCTAAATGCGGGGATTACAGGTGTGCACCACCATGCCTAGCTAGAGGCAGTGTTTTTAGACAGCATCTATTCTGGAATGTTGTATTTTTTAAAATGCATGCAAAAAGGGCTGGAGATGTAGCTAGGTAGTAGAGAGCTGGCCTAGCATGCACAAGGTCCTGGGTTTAATTCCCTTACACTGCAAAAACAAAAAAAAAAGTACAAGTGAACCAAATTCCATACGTTTGTTTTTTTTTTTTTTTTTAAAGACAGGCTTTTATTATGCAGTTCAGGCTGGCCTTGAACTCATAGCTATCCTCCTGCCTCAGCCTCCTGAGTTCTGGGATTACAGGCTTGCACCACCACGCCCAGTTTCCATATATTTGAAAAGGGTCCATAAATAAAGCTTCTAGCTCTTTCCAAATGGTGTGTTTAAATAGAAAATGTAGAGTTCAGTTTAAAAAATTATGGAAACATAGTATAGTTTCAGGAGCTAATTTCCAATATTACTACAAAATGTTTACATGAATATCAAAAAGATTGTAACTGCAGTGGTTTTTCTCAGTGAAAAACTATGCTTCTAATAAAATTACCAACAAATGTGTCCCATTTTAATAATGAATTTCACTGTCAGCATTCTCTGTAAAGAATTTTAATTATGACTCCTCCATACTATCACACTATATTACCATGAACTTGAGTATGTGAATGTCTTGCATGGCATCCTGGAGAAGGTGAGCATAGCAGGGCAAATTATGAAATTAACAGTCTTTTAGAAGAACTAATCTAATTTAGATTAATCCCTATAAAGAAAGGAGAATATTTTTATTAATAATCTAAGGAAATCAGTTAAATTTAACGGCATGTATATGGAATATATTATGATTATAAACATGATTATTCTTTTTGTTTGGGCAGATATTTGTTCAGTCTAATCAAGGTGAAGAAGAAACAACAAGAATTTCATATTTTACTTTTATTGGTACTCCTGTCCAGGCAACAAATATGAATGACTTCAAACGAGTAAGTTTAAATGATAATGGAAAATAATAGTTTTAAGGAGATGATTTAATACATTTTGGTAGTCATAACTTTCAATAACCATGAAGATCAAAAATCATGTATCATGAAACTTTTATAAGGTTAAAATTAGAGTAAATTCTCCTGGAGGAAGAGAGATTAAGGGAGGGTAAGGGAATGGGAGGAAAAAAAAAAGAATTAAGGTATAGCATATGCAGATACAGATTCCCTAAGATGAATTCATTATGTGAACCTAAAATACACCAAGAAACTGAATTAAAAAACATCAGTTCTCCTAATCACATTTTGAGATATCCAAAGGAGTCTTTAATGGATATGATAGGTCTTAATTATCTATTGAATGACATCTAAATAAGAGTAAAAATAATAGTCTGCTTATAGAAAGTGTTCAAGAGCCAGAGAAAAATAGGAGTAACTAAAATCACTTGAAAGAAGTAGATTTTAAGAAATTGGCTGATTTTTTTTTTTTTTTTTTTTTTTTTCTGTACTGGGGATCAAACTCATGACCTCATGCTTGCCGGGCAGGCGCTTACGCCACTGAGCTATATCCCCAGCCCTGAAATTGGCTGATTTCAAGGTTTTGATTATCATTATTTCTGAGGAAAACATTTAAAATGACTTGAATAATTCTGTTTAAAAAGAAATAAATTCATTGTACCAACATGCTACCTTCCCAAACAGTGTCAGAGCACACTTCAGTATACATTTACAGTGAACAGGCAGATTTTCTCATCTATTTTTATCATGCTGTGCATTTTTTTTTTGTATTTTTTTTTTAAAGGATACAATCTTAAGGTATACAAAGAATGTATAGGATATAGCTGGGTGTGGTGGTGCACACCTGTAATCCCAGCACTTGGGAGGCTGAGGCAGGAGGATGGCGGTGAGTTCAAGGCCAGCTTGAACTACATAGCAAGACCCTGTTTCAAAAAAAACCAGCAAAACAAAAATAGTGTATAGGATACACAGGACTTTAGGGATGAGGACCAACTCCTGTCATACATTTTTGGACCAACTGCTAATTGATGGCATTTCTTTCCTGTAGGATGATTTTTAACTGTACAAACTTAGATCATAGACATGCTGCTAAAAACTTCTCAGTACCAAACCATAGTTGCTGTATATACTTTTAATGTGTGACATGATAGGAGACCTAGGGTCACAGTGTTCCTGATGGCTGCATCTAGCAGGCAATGTAGGACTTGAGATAATTAAAGGAAGAGTTTCCCTGGGGCTGCCAATTCTTAGAGGAAGTGGTTCCCTGCAGACCATTGTTTGGGGAATTGGAGCTGTGGAATATCTTGAAAACACTTAGCCTTTTAGGTGGTACCAGCAGATATAATTTAAATTCAATAACAGAAAAATTAAATTGCATAATAATGGATGGTGTTATAAAATTATATGCTGTTTTTACACAGTTAAGAACTTTGACAGTGGCTATTTTAACTGGTCATTTTTCAATTACTGTCTTCCTGTTTCATAGCATAATTAACTTTTGGAAGTTGATATGTACTTAGATCTGTCACATCTAGGTGTTTAACAGATGTATAATGTCAGGTCAGAAGAAGCAGAGATTAAACATTATTTTTTTACAATACGTGTTTTCCTGGGAAAATGTGAGCGACAAAGGCATTTTGGCTGCCTGCATTGCTGCTGCTTTGCCTATTTCAATTAAATATCACTGGACTTGGCTTTAACTGTTGTTTGCATAGTTTATTAGCTTACTTCTTTAGTAAGATCTATTGCCATAAATCGTCTTTTTCCTACCACTAACTTGGCTCTAGTTGCCTATTTCTCACCTCTATTTATGCTATTTCACTTGGGTTTTTCCCGAGGCAACTGCCATCCTATCTTGTGCATCTTCTTACCAGCCATTGAATTGTGGTTTTCTTAGTTTGCATTAATAATTATCAGTCTACTCACCTTGTCTCTACCTGTTGTAAGCATCCTTCTCACGTCCCTTCTAGTGTAGTCTTTTTTCTTTTTTGACTGCTGTGCCTCCTTTTATGGGTCTGTCTTTAGATAGCAGTTACTAAACTTTTTAAAGAGTATTTGTGCTTATAATAGTCATTTTTCACTTAACTCTTTCCACTTTATTTAACTTACTGTAGAGTAGCTCTTAACTTTTTGGTCTCAGTTACCTTTTAAACTATGAAATAAGACTGAGGACCAAGAAAAACCTACATTTATGTAGGTTGTATTTACCTGTTGGAAGTTAAAACTAGAAAATTTTAAAAATATTTATAATTAATTACATATTGGCACCTGGGTGTGGTAGCACACACTTGTAATCTCAGCACCGTTGGAGGCTGAGGCAGGAGGATCACAGGTTAATGCCCTGCTTTGGCAGTTTAGTGACTTAGTGAGATCCTGTGTCAATATAAAAAATATAAAAGGGCTAGGGATATAATTCAGTGCAAAGGTGCTGGATCCAATCCTTGTACTGCAAAACAAAAACATACTGTTGAACATTATTCTGAAAATAGTTTTGATATCACAGATTTGACTTGCTGAAAGGGTATAGAAAAGGTATAAGGACTGCAGGCTGGACTGTACTTTTAAGAAATATGAGAATGATTTGAATACTGTTAAGGGCTTCCCTGTAGGTTTTCTGGGTTTCTTAGCCCCATGCTTTTAAAGTTTAATAATGTTTAATTGTTTGAGCAATGTTCTTATGTATGTTACTATTAAACTACATTTTGTTTTAGTTTCCAAATAAGATTTGTTTTGCTTGTAGTCATCCATTGCTTGTAGTGTTAATCCTCAAAATTAAGCACCTATTTCATTGTTTTTATATTATGTGATACAAGTGTTTCGGTGTAGTAAAAAAATTAAGAATGTGTTTAATTGAAATAGGCCTATTTGGCCCTAAATAGTTGACTGTTAATAATTATAAATGACTTTGTTTCTATTGAAGGGTTTAATACTTTTTGTACCTGTCGTAAAGTGGTAGTACAATCATGTGGAAAGTTAATCAAATTAAAACTTTACTCAGTATCTTATCTTCCACAAAGTATTCTCATACATTTCAACCCAGCCCAACAATGATTGGGAAAGTATGAGAAGCATTTATGGAGAAAAAGGACTTTCTTGTTTGTTTTTTGAGACAGCGTCTTGCTATGTAGTCCAGGCTGACCTTGAACCCACTGTGTACCTCAGTCCTCCTGCCTCAGCCTCCCAAATACTGGGATTGTAGGCGTGGGCCTTGCTAGAAAAAGGAATTTCAAGCAAGTTTTGAAAGCAGAATTTTGGTGAAGTAAAGGATAGTGATGATAACAAGATAGGATAGAAAAGTAGGGAAAGGACAAGCAAAATATGATACTTTTTTCCTTCACTTAGTCAATTTGAAATGAAAAGGGATTATGCATTGTAATTAAAACTTTAAGTTTCAAAATATATTTGGCATCTATTTTATAAGCACAGGGAAGAAGGTTTTGATAACTTCTTTGTAATAATGAGACCTGTATAAAATAGTTTAATGAATGATAAAGAAGTGTTTAGCATTTTTAGTTTACAGTTTTATGTTGCACAAGTTGTTGTAGATCATTTTAGTTTTCAGAATGTCCTTGACCTTACCTTTATGTAAGATGACAGAAGCTAAGGTAAAACTGGTGAATCTTGGATGTGCATAGAATCTAAGCCCACCTTGCATGTTATTACAGCTATACAAGGGTATACTTTCAAGATTTACTAGACTAGAGTACACCTTCTACTATCTATTTTTGGTCCTTGGAGGTGTCATCCACAGATTGTAATGTATACTTCAGTTATTTGTTGTTGCAGATGTAAGGTTTATTTTTTGGCATGAAAACCTTGCCATCTTAATTGGAAGTAGATATTTTCTTTGTTAAAATGTGTTCTTTACACAGATTGCTTTATTTCAATATTAAAATAAAAGTGTATAAAGTGGAGAAAATTGTAGGGGCTTCTGCTTCTTAGGGATGAGGCGCATGTAAAAAGCAGAGGGAATTTTTATCACTGTAGTAAAAATAGACTTTTCTAAACTGGCCATTCACCGTACCAGCTATTTTTGTAACATTTCTGTCTGTTTATTTTTCAGCTTTTTTAATCCAACTCAAACGAACTAAAACCAGAAGATTTTTTTTAATGAAGTAATAAAAGATTGACCTTATCTCACAATACTCCCCTCCTTGCTTCTCTGCTCATCTAGCACCTGTCTGCTCTCACCCTTTCCATGTTCTCTCCATTGTCACTGCAAGATGTCTACAGCTTCCATCACCTGGATCAGCCTTGTTACCTAGATTGCCTCAACAGTCTCCTTCTTCAAATCTCATCCTAGCCATATTTCTCAGTTGGCCTTTTTATTTTCTTTTGGGCTTGCAGCTAGGTGCTTTAATTTCATTACTCTACTGTGCTGCTCACCAGACTTTTACTTTTTACTGTTTCATGGTTACTTTTGTTCTGGATTTTGAGGAGTGACACTGAAATAAAACTTAAATTGTTATAATGCTTTCAGATTTAACTAGATGATGTTTTAATCCATTCTAAAATTTTATTTTTTAGGAGCTACAGAATCATTTTGGAAATAGTTTTTATACTAGAGCTGCTATAATACATTAATTAGGTTTTACTTGAGGGATGTGGGTTTTCTTTTTCTCTTTGCACTGTTAGCCCCAAAGTCATTTTGATGATTGACGTGGTTGTATCCTTTACTTTGGCCCATCTAAGAGCTCAAGGCCAGTTGAAGGATTTACGGACTGAATGATAGTCTGAGTCAGAATATTAACATAGAAGATCAATGGACTCTGCTGAATAAATATCTTAACATCTAATTTTGATGTACATAAACTTTTGTTTGAGGTGTAATATAAAGCTTAAGAAAGAGTGAAAGAGCTTTACATTTGGGGTAAGAATCCATATTGGAATGTTTAATGTCTTCTTTTTTACAGAGAATGCATATTGGCAAGTTGAGAGTTATCAACCTGTGAAACAGTATGCAGATATGTGTCTTCTGTGTCACATCTGCTAAAATTGAAATTTTTAATATTTGTTGTTTTTGTTTTCTTTTGCTTAATCTAATAGTTGTTTTGCATTTCCAAAGTAATATATTGATCAATAATGCTTTCAGTGTTAATCAGCTTAAATTCATTTGTGATACAAATAGTGCCACCTCTCTGACCTTCTAGTGTCTCTTCAGACTTGTTTTTCTTAACTCTTGGCCACATCCTTTTTTATGACAACATGTTTTTGTAATGTTTCTATTGTGTTGAGCTTTTTTTGTTGTTATTTCTTACTGGAAATCGAACTCAGGACCTTATGGTTGCCAGGCAGGCATTGTGCTGCTGAGCTGTATCACTGGCTGAGCTTTTTTTTTTTTTTTTTTTAAAACCAAAGAGGAGTTCCTTCAAGTAATAAAGAGTGGTTTTCCTTGTAGGATAGCATTATGGGATTAGAAATTTAGGTGGAAAAGTTTTTACATTTTCTCTCATGAATGACATTGACCCAGCTGTGTTCTGTTTTAGAATAGACATACATTGTGACCTTAATGAATTTTGCTTGGTATACCACATTACTGTTTGGAACACAATCAGTTTAAAATATGGAAATTTTATTTATAAATATACATATAGATCTTCTATACAAATATAAATGTAATATTTTGCAGGTGGGTTTCTTTAGAGGTTTCTGCTATGAGAATATATTAACAAATGATAAAGTCAGTATTTGAGGTAAATCACTACTGGAAAACAGAACCCTCCCATCTGAATATGGTGGTACATGTGGTGTAATCCCAGCACTCAGGAGGCAGAGTCAGGAGGATCACTGAGTTCAAGGCCAGCCTTGAACTATATAGTGAGACCTTGTCCCAGAAGAAAAAAGAATCCTCCCACAGAGAGTTTGTTTTTAGAGTTGTTGGTGTACCTGAAGTTTTCTCCTTACATTTTCATGCTGCCACATTTATAGGAACCAGAGCACTGAAACAAAACTTGAAATAGTGGATGTTTCTAATCATTGACAGACATAAGGTTTATTCTTTACATTTTTTATAGTACATTTGTAATAGCCAGGGCTATTTTAAAGAGGAAGTTAGAAAAATTAGTCATTTTAAATCTCTTTTCATTGAATATCTATGTGTTGAAGGAAGTGTCTAGAAACTTAGCATGGGCATGAAGACATTAGTGTAGCATACTTTTAAACTTCTATTATTTTGTGATCAGCATTTGATTTCTAATTGCCTAAAAATAATATGCAAACATGTTTTACTCATATAGCATCATCTTTTTTTATTAACTTCTCTAAACTGTCAGCCTTGTTTGGAAAAATGGCGGTAGTTTTTCTTAAAACTGGGTGGGAATCCAAAATAGCCTGCATGTGTTTCATTTTTAATTCCTATGGTCTAGGAGGGTAGGGGGGACGCAGCTTGCTTCCACAGTGAAAGCACAGTGCATGCCAAAAAAAATTCAAGGATAAATACTAATACCAGGTTTTAAAAGTGATTACCACATTAGCATTTTTGAAGAAAACCCGTGTTTCTAAATTAGTATTGTACATACAACTTTTGTTTGTTTGTTTTTCTAGGTAGTTGGCAAAAAAGGAGAAAGCCATTAAGATTCAAACGACACTGGAAGACCTCTTGCAATCAGATTTGCAGCTCCTGGATAATTGCTTGATTCTCTCCAGAGACTGTCAATATTGCATTCATTGCCATCACCAATAAATCATTGCTTTTGTTCAGATGGTATCAATAGTGTTTCTATTGTAATCTTGTTACATGCAATTGTAAATAAAAGTCACTACTTTTGCCAAGCTTAAAATTTTGTCATTTATATAGTATTTTCCCTTACCTTTTATTTGGAAATTATTCAGCTTCTGATTTTAGGAGAGACAAGTATCTGGTAGCATATCATTTGAAAGCTAGTTTCTCTTTTTAGAGGAACAAAACTGTTGTAGGGAATTAAGGAGTATATGTGTACATACACATATACAGGCACATAGAACAAATGATTTTGATAAATAAACTTGAATAGCTAACCAAGTAGAAAAGAATACTGACTTACATTTTTATTAAAAGACATTAGAGTACTTGGGCAAAAGAAGTTACTCAAGTTGGAAACTATCAGAAATAAATAGGTTCAATGAGATTGAACTACTCTTACCTAGAACTGTTAATTAGCCTACACATTCTCATGCCAGGATTTTAATCCCTTCTGAATAAATGTTAAACGTTTGAGTTAGCCATTTTCTTTACCAAAGGACGAGTGTTGAATTCAGACAGTTGGGAAAAATATAGGACAGTGAACTCCTGAAAAAATAGAAATCATTATATTTAATTCAGTACCATCTGATTATAAAAACGTATTAATGTACAGAGAATATGATTTAAGTTTGAAAATGAATTGACCAAGTGTTTATATGTAAGATGCTTCACAGAAAGCTGGCTGAACAAAACATTTGTTCTTTATTGCTTTTTTTTTTAAATCTCAAAATTACCTGGAAAGTATTGTATTGGTAAATTTAATTTTTATATTTTGAAGTGTTTTAAAAATTTAATATTTTAAAAATACTAAGACTCTAACTTGTGATTCAGTTAGTGCATTTGAGGACATTCTGTCTAAAGAAAAACAAATACTGTTTGCCCTTGGGAGATCAATGTATTTATACATGATTATGAAAAAATCTGTGTGTAAGTTTTAGTGTTGAAGTGGTCACTTTCTGAAATCCGAGTGTCATTAATGTTTTAGTTCATTTGTATGTGCACACAGTAACCGTGGTGATGTCTCTATTTTATGTATTTCACAGTTTTCTTGCCTTGGGTCGAGTGGTGGCAGAAGTGCAAAAATAAAAGTTTATAACAATCCAAATATAGACCATCTCAGATTAATCACGCCTGAAATTGAGAATAAGATTGAGAGTTTTGTTTTATACTTTTGTACACTAACCTTTTTGAGTAATTTTTAGTGCCACATCTTAATTATTGCTGACCTCATCCTATTTATACTTGATAATTTGAAAACCCAGTAAGAGTAGTTTCAAAATATTTGTAGAGGGTTGGGCATCAGATTTATATCATTTATATGACTTTCCTGTAATGCAGTTGGTTGCAGTATACTGACATTTCATAACTATTCAAATTGTAAATAGTGAAAAGTGTTTTTAGGTAACATGTTTCACTTACAAAAAGTTTTATTACAAATAAACATGCGTATTTGACATTACTTAAAACATTAAACTGAAATGCTGTTTTCTAAAATAGTATGTACATATATGTGTATATATAACATGATTTTTCTAGAGGAATGAGCATTTTAAAAGTCCTTTTTTAATCAAAGTTTTTAGTACTTTCTAGGAAACTAATAATTGATTTTGTTTGCGCAGTTTGTTAAATTCACATCAGCATGAATATCTGTTGAGAAGCAACAATTAAATACTCTTGTCTACAACAGAAACAAAAGTAAAATACTTCACTGCAAAGTCTTTGTCAGGTACAGACGGGATTAGCACCAGTCACCATACCCTGATGTCTGTGGTAGCCCTTTTTAGTCCATTTTGGCTTTTGCTGTTGGGCCCCAAACTGTTCAGGATGCATTGTCTTAATATAACTGAAGCATTTTTGGTGGCAGATGGAGGCATGAATGGACAGGGTTTAGAGCTAGAAGTAGATGATGATAGTTGAAAGAGTAGAATGGAGCTGGTAGGTAGAATATAAAGGGGATGAAGAAATAAATGTTAGAGAAATACTAAGGAATTGTTTGAAGAGGTCCCTGAAAAGCAGCAGGATAAATGAAAATCTAGGTGATAATGAAGATGGAGTAGTTGCCATTAGTTGTGACAAAACAAAATTATAAGGGATATCCAGTTGTCAGGCCATTGAAATTGTGGAAACAGTCTTTCTGGTCCTTAATTACAAGAAGCGTTGATTCTGTGAATACTTTTGGTTGTGGAAAATGTCAGCAGAAAATGATTCTGGTTCGATTCCTGGTACTGGGAGAAAAACAAAACAATGATTCTGAAATCCTGGCAAAGAAATTCAGAAGTTTTTATAGTCTGCAATTAAATGTAGTTTTATATGACAACAAGACTTGGAGATTGATGGCAACATTCCATAAAAAATATGAGAAAGTGTCATTGAAGGCTTTAGTCTTATATAAGGTTTTTTTAAAATGTGTGTTTTGTTTGTAATCAGAAATTTTGTCCTATCTGTCATCGCAGAACTTTTGTTCATGACTACTGTGGTTGTCTTAAATGCTGATTTTTTTAGGGATGATTTTTCTGTCAGAGCTCTGCATAGGCCATTTAGGTTCTTTGGTAATAAAGCTAACTTTTTTGGGCAGTATGAATGAAGCATATGTTATTAAAACCTGCTCTTGCAGTTTTCTTGTAACGGGCAACTTCTAAGTTACATCCCTCTGATCTCTCTTTGGCCAAGGATAATAGGAATAGTGGCACCGTTTTATTTTCCTGACCACATAAGTTTTTCAAGGCTCAACACCTGAACAGCATTCAGGATGCCGCTGCGTGTGTTTATCCTTTACTGCGGGTGCCCTCTATGTTTAGAAAATGAGTGTGTAGCTCAAGACGAGCAGTGGCAGGGAGCTTCCATATGAGTGGATAGGCCAGGTGGAAACACGTAGGGTTATATGGACGTGAATAGCTGTCTGTTTAAGTGTCACCTCATCTGATTTCTATTTGGAATTTCTAAGAACGGAAAGGCAAGACATTAGGGCGTTCACATTTTGGGTTGAGTGTTTAACCTGTAAAAGTTTTTTCCTGGAATTTAAAAATTCTTGTCTTACCCACTCAATGCTCAGGATTAAACATAGGGCCTCAACACATGCTAGACAAGTGCTGTACTACAGCCTACATCCTCAGCAAAATTTCCTTTTTTAAAGTTTTTTTTATTAGTGCTTGTTTGCAATGCATGCAGTTTTCAATCATCTCAAATTTAGCAGCAAAATTTCTTAACTGCTATCATCCATCCATCTATCCATCCATCCATCCATCCATCTTGCTTTTCAGAGTGCCCTAAGGCAGTTGTTATGAGGATTCTCTTCAGCATGTCTGTCATTTCAGGAACTGGTCATTTTTATGGACATAGCTTTATGGTAAAGACAGCTGGCAACTTTGATGAAGTAGGATAGGCCCCTTCGTTTGGTTCACAGCACACTCTATGTCAGTTCTCTTTACTCAGAACAATAAGAATTTATTAGATTGGCTTAAGGGATTATAGGCTAGGCAGTCTCACAGGGGCTGTCTGCATGCTGGAGAGCTGGAGGATTGAGTAAGCTACTCAGTCCAAAAGGCTGGATGTCTCCAAGTAAGTGAGACCAAGGATGCAGCCACAGTCCAAAGCTGAAGGCCTTGCAGTTCCCTGGAGAGTCACTGGTATGAGTCTGCAATGAAAAACTAAAGAAGCTGGGGTCTGATGTCCGTGGGCAGTGGCCGCCGCAAAAGATGCACCCACAAAAGATGTACCCACTCAAGCAGAATCCTCCCTGCAAGTGCTGGTGAGCTGCTTCCACTTTGGTTCCACTTGGGCTACAAGCCAATTGGATAGTGCTACCCACATGCTGGAAAAACATTGTGAAAATTGCAAAACACTATTGAAAGAAATCAACATAAATTTTAAAAATTCATGAATTGTAAAACTTAAAACATTGTTAACATGACAGTATACCCCAAATTGACCAATGGATCCAGTGTAGTCCTTACAACAATTCCAGCTGAATTCTTTGTAGAAATTGACAAGCTGATTTCAAATGTAAATAGAATTGCAAAGAACCAAGAATACCCACAACAATCTTTAAAAAGAAGAACAAAGGAGAGTTTACACTTTTTAATCTCAAAACTATACAGTCAGCAATCAAGAGAGTGTGATATTAGAGCTATATAAAAACTTAAGGGTAAGCCCTGACCTTGAATTTGGCAGAGCATGTGCTGAAAAAAGGTAAATTGAAATTTCATAAAAACTTAGAAGAGGATATTTGCAAATCATATATAGTTCTTCATTATCCACAGGGGAGCAAAATCCATGGATGCGGAAATCCCTTTACAGAGTTTGATTTCTTTTTAAATGTGTAAAAGTATGTTCTATGATTCACAGAGATAAACCATGTCCTTTGGCAAAGATTTTTTTGATATAACACCAATGTTGATGTATGTTGCCTATCTTCGTGAAGGTTCCATGAGAGCTTGAGAATATGTACTGTGCTGCTCTTGAATGAAGTAGTATATGGATGTCAAATGCCCAGTTGATTGTTGGTGCTTTTGAGTTTGACAGTGTCTTCACTGACTGCTGGAAATGTCCATTTCTGATTACTTTCCAATTGTAATAGTAGATTCATCTAGTTGTCCTTGAAGTTATACAGTGTAAGTTTTTGCTTCATGTATTTTGATGCTATTATTAGGTACATACATGTTAAAGCTTGTTATATTTTAGAATTGAGCTCTTTATTGTTATGTAATGGGCTCTTTATTCCTGATAGTTTTTCTTGTTCTGAAATTAATATTGTTGCTCTATTTTCTTTGGATTAGTGTTACCATGGCATCTTTCTCCATCCCTTCACTTTGTAGTCTATATTTTTAATTTACATGATTCTTGTAGACACCATATATAGATTTTGTTCTTTATCTACTTTAACAATTTGGTTTTTAATTGATAGATTTAGACCATTGATATGTAAAGTGATTATTAATAAGGTCTAACTAATATTTTTTAGGGTTGAAATTCATTTTTTTGAGACAAGCTCTCACTATGTAGTTTAGGTAAGCTTCGAACTCGTGGCAATCCTCCTGCCTCTGCCTCCTAAGTGCTAGGATTACAGGTATTTGCCACCATGCCCAGCTGAATTTCATTTTTAATAACTCATAGTATGCTAATAACAGTTGTATTTGATAAGATACAAAGAAACAATGTTGGGATGCAGGGTAGAAATTCCTGGGAGATGACACTGTTTCTATTAATTTATGTTTTATATATGGCATTCACAGGTAAAATGCCTAGCCATTCAAAATTCATATTATGTATCACATACAGGAAGATACTCTATTTCTGTAGGTCCCAGGCTATATTTCTTATTGTTGCCCCGATTAATACATTTATTTATACACTATAAAGAACTCTATATGCTATTACCATTTATTTTCCTAATCTTTTCATAAAATTTGGAACATCTGCAAAATAATTTACCTAAAAATTATTCTAAAGAAAATACTTTTCCAGATTGAAATAACATTTTTAAAAAATGAATCTGCATATACAGTGAGGTAACCCACTGGTTGAGGCTTTACCTCATTTTTCCTGAGTGATGTCATTTCTACATGAAGAATATCTCTAACTTACAGCGGTGTCCTTCAGGATATAAGCTCTTGGTACTTAAAATGTTGGTACTTTGGTAATTCTGCCATTCATTGTTTCTGTACTTTTTCTCATTAAAGTCCTCATGTTTAATAAACTCTGGATATCATACAAATCCATTTTGTATTCAGTTCCTTCATGTAATTTCCTCTTCTAGATTCACCATATAATTAATAGTATGATTTGCCAACATCCATTTCATTCATAGGGTCTCTCACCTGTATAAACTGTTTTAAAAAAAGGTCTGATTTAAGCCAGTTACAGTGACGTGCACCTAGAGTCTCAGCTGCTTGGAAGGATGAGGCAGGAGGATCACTTGAGCCCAGGATTTGAGACCAGCTTTGGCAATATGGCAAAATTTGTTTCAAAACAAAACAAACCAAGGCCCCCAAAAAACTTGCTGCAGGAAACTTTCATAGGGTTTGCTCTATGTGTAAGTCGTCTGTGCTGGTTTAACATTTACCAGGTTTGTTACTTCTTTTATTTGTTGCTTTTTTTTCAAATTGA